TATGACAATCCCGGCACACTTGGCAGTACAATCGAAGACCACTTTCTAAACCAAACCCCTATCAGTTCACCAATTCAGCTTCAAAGCTGTATCTGTGGAACACATTCCACCTCGGTACATACTCTTAGAATTGTTGTTACCACTTGTTCACAACCATAACTATACCTCACCTCGTTTTCGCTCGAATCATTTGACTAAACTTCGTGGCACATGCAAACCAGGTAGCTGTAACCACTTCCTAATCCAAACCCCTATCAGTTCACCGATTCAGCTTCAAAGCTGTATCTGTGGAACACATTCCACCTTGGTACATACTCTTAGAAGTTTTGGGACCACTTATTCATCAGCAGAACTATTCTTAACTTCAATGTCGCCTGAGTGATTTGGCCAAACTTGGTGGTCTATTTCCCTGCATGCCTATCGGTTTTTAATTTGTTTTTACGTGTGCTTACCTAGCTGTAGATATACAAGTATATATACAGGCTTATACCATCCCTATTATTCCACTTTGCCCATTGACTTGTGACATGCTGTCTCTTCCCTTATCCCTTCTCAGCTGGCTATTACCCCAGACTGTTCAGTATGACTCTTTTGTTCCAGATTTGGTTGGCTTGGACCTGTCGAAGGCTTGGTGTCTAAACCCACAAGGAAAATTTCGGCTCTGGCAGTGGATGCTGGGCATGGCTGTTTCGACGGTTTTGTCTGCATGCGTCTACATCCCGGCAAACGTATGAACTCGCTGTACTACTTCCTATTTATTCATATCCATTTTCCCCGTCTATAGTTTAACATTTTGCCTCTCCGTATCTTCTCCCATTAGAGCTGCACTCCGTTTCCCCACGATAACGGGTTAACAGTTACTTCAATTTCGATTAATTTGCTTATACAGCACATTCTTCCATCCTCCACAATTACAATTGTGACCTTGTCCGCTTTGTGTTCCGTATACACAGCGTTTTTGTTCTGCTTCCCCACCGTCTCCAGTATGTACGTCTTCCAGGTAGTTTATCCATTTACCTGTACTGTCGTTGTACATATGATTATTTTGAACATATGATCATGCCTTGTGCATGCTTCACGGGTTTCGTGAAATATACATTTCTATTATTATTATTAACCCGGATCTTCTGTAGTTTCTTGGGGTTTATGACAGGGTGGTGCGGAAGGTACCATCATGGCTGCTCCTTTTCCATTGCGCGTTCGATATATCCCAACTCTAGATTGCGTTTCATGGCGTTACAGTAGGCTTCCTTTAACTGCACGTTCCTCTTCAATTAACCCTTCAGGTAGTTGAGCATGTGGAGTGCTATTTCTCGATTGTCCGTCAGTCGGTTGGATCTCGTTCGCCAGGATAACGGCACTTCGAATTGGATTCCGTTGTGTCCTGCCGTTTCGGTGACGACAGTCAAGGCTGCTCGGTCTTCTCTCGACATAGATACCCGGTCATCTTTTATATCGCCGAATTCGTGATTGTAAAGCCGCTCCAGATCGTCTCCTATGGGATTACCTGGCCGCGAGATGAAGTTGATCGAGGCTGAATAATTACCATCATTACCGAGCGGCTCGTAGAGTATCCAACGAAACATCGTGCGCACAGCATATGGGCCTCTGGACCTCCTATCCCTCGGTCCAGAACCCAATGCGCCTCGGGTACATCACAGCCGATCAATATGTCCACTGGGGTGTTCAAAACATCCTCGAACGCCAGATCGTAAAGGTGAGGCCAGCACCGCACTAGCGACCGGATACTTTCGGCAGCTCTCATTGGTATTTCGGCGATAGTAAATGCATGTTGCACCTCTGTCGTATCTTCCCCCGATGTGGGAGCTAACTTCAAACTCAGTTAAGAAGCTCAAACTGCTCGTGCCCTATTCACCGTGCTGATTACCTATGAAGTGGCTTGTCCACACAGGTTGTGTTCTCGCGCAAAACTCTCTCACACGAGGATGGTATCCGAACCATTGTCTAGAAACGCCACTGCTTGCACTATACCATGCGGAGTTTTCACTTGGATTGATATTATTCTCAAGCGGACCGGCCCACTTGACACCCGTCCGATAGTGCAGGCAGATTTAGGTGTATCTCTCGCAGCGTGTTCGTCGGCTCTATCGACCCGACCGCTTTTTGTTCGTTGCTCGACTCCTCCATCGTGGTGTAAGAAGGAACTCCTCCATCGTGGTGTAATAAGGGGTGATGCCAAACCCTGCAATTGTCTTGACCATAGCTCGGTTTCTACAAAGGGCTGCTCTGTGGGTATCGCTCAAGCACACAAAGCAGGACCCTGTGCTTTTAGCCACTGTTCAGCGGTCCATCACCTTGAATACCAAAAAATCTATGAATTGTGCGAGTTTGTCAAATATCGCCTCTCTGTTCTTTTCCTCGAATTGATCGGCCTCGGTCGCCCAGGCTGTCTGCATTTCGGCCGGCAAACATCTGACAATCGATTCCAGCGTGTGAAGTGCATCCAGGTCCGACCGATATTCGAGGTGGTTTAGGGCAATGCTGCAGTTCNGACCAGGTTTCCTAGAGAACTGGTATCGCCTCGTGTGCGCCTCGCCTCTGCTAGCACCCCGTCAATCATGTTTCGTGCCACTCGGAATGGTTGGCCGAAAATCTCCTTCAGAATATTTATAGCTCTCAGGTAGCCCACTTCCGGGTCCAGCATTGCACACCCTTGTATAGCCTCTCTGGCCTACACCCGACAGTAGTGTAGCAAAAACATAAACCTTTGCCCCGCATCATCGGTTTAACATTCAACGAAATACTCGTATTGACGAATGAATTGGCAATATTGTTCGGGATTACCATCGAAATGTGTCAGTTCAACTCTTGGCAAATCGACGTTTACATGTGCATACTTTCTTTGCTGAGGGACAAATTCTTTATTCGGAGAGAAGCCACAGTGTGCAGTCTCAGCTCGAGGTGATGTTGTGCCGTTGTATTCGGTTCTTTCACGTTTGGCCTGTTCTATCTGCT